AAAAATTCAAAGCCACCTATTCGACTCGTGAGTATCAGATTCTCCAGGCCCTCCTTTCTCATTATGTGCACATTCGATCGCGTAAAGAAGGACAATCGGTCTTCTTTTCTTTGTTACCAAAGAAATCCTCCTGTCTCGCAATACTCTGCCCAGCTTTTTGAATGTGTCCTTCGCCATCCCAATACGCCTACGGATCTCAGTGTCGCATTTACCGTCCTCTGTCAGAACACTTTCCAGATATTTAAATTTTCTGCTTCATTCTAGTGTTCCTGACCTGCAAATCGCATTTCGGGCTCATCTTCTTACTGATGACCATGCATTCTGTAGTTTGTGCTTAGTCCTTTCTTCTCACTCTCCGTCGCTACCTTCTGTAAGAGATTTTGTAATTTCTTTTCCATGTCTGCTATCAGTACTTTGAGTCGACTGCGTATATAGGAAAAATTAGATATTGATTAAACCCTGTCACTCCAGTGGGTCTAAAACTGACCTTATGATGAAGGAAAGGAACTTAAGTGGTTGTTTCAATTAATTTGCACAAGGATGTATATGAGGAACAAATTGTGCTCTCAAATGGGGTTAACATTTTGGCAAGTTTACCTATTCCTGATATCATGTGTCTCATCTGAATAGCTGGTCTATGTATTTTAATAATTGTCATCTTAACTGGGCCATCGCTAAATTTGGCCAACAACTTATTTAGGTTAAATCTTGGAAAACCAAATCAAACAATATATTAGGTTGGTGCAAAAATAATGACGTAAGAATGTCGTTTTTTGACATTAAAAAATACGTCAAAAACGACATTATTACGTCATTATTTTTACACCAACCTAATATGTATATATGTAATAATTTCATTTGCTTAGACCTTTAATTTGGTCAGCGTGTACCAAGTTAAATTACTTTTTAATTATTTACCAATTCTTTTTTCATATACTCTTAGTTCAACCAATACAAGGCCCAATGGTCAAAGGGGGGGATAAGCAGCGAATAAGAAGTACACACTATGAGAAACTGTAGGAGAGATATCGGTGAACTTGGAGAGACTAGAATTGTAGGTGTCAGAAAATCATCTTCTTAAGAGTGTTAAGATAGATGCCATGATCTAAATGCAAGATCAATAACACAATGGTCCTAACGAAACAGAATTAATAATATTTGCAACAGAAAGAAAGAAAGGTAAAAATTAAATGGTATCTGGCAAGAAAGCAAATAATATAAGTAAAGTAGATTAACAGGTAAGAAAGCAAGATTTACTACGAATTAGCGTCGACGCAGAAAAGATAGGTAAGACAAGTGAACCCATTACCAACCAGTTTGAAAAACAACAGAAAGTTTGTTCCACAAACTATGGTGAACATCTTGTGATACAAGTCAATGTCTAATAGATGAAAGTAAGTGATATTTTTTTAGTTTTTTTTATGCAAACTAGTATTTAAATGATTTTGGATCGGGATTAATTTATGTGTCATACATTTTGAATAATATGGGATTATGGATTTAACAGTTTTCTTTTAAGTTTTGAACATTTTTGCAGTCATGTATCTTGGATGAGTAAAAGAGTAATACTTTCAGGAAGGGAGATATTTGAAAAAATCCAAAGTGCAGATTTATATATAATTTTCCTTCCAACCAACTTACTTTGTCTTTTAATTAACTGTGACATTCTTTAGATCAAAGTTGTGATTAGATTTATTTCTTTGTATAACTAATGCATTTGATAAATTGATGTGTATAAACTCCCTTTCGTGTTCGTAGATATGTTTTTTTTTTTAATTTTTGCAAGGTATATATATATATATATATATATATATATATATATATATATATACTAGCGGCATGGCCCGGGGTTGCCCGTGCTTCATACAAAAATCGTACGACTCATACAGCAATCGCTATCCTTGACTTAAAATATTTTTGCCTTTCCTTGCCTTTAAAGAAGTGCCCTTTGCCGTGCTGATGTTGCTACATGCCTTACTTCTTGCCGATCTCACACTGCGAATTTTTCTCAGCTCATATATATATATATATATATATATATATATATATATATATATTCATATATATGAATAATAATTCATATACATATATATATATATATATATATATATATATATATATATATATATATATATAAATTAAATTAGGAAGAGTAATTGTACCTGCCAGGTTAAATCTGTTACGAAAAAAAGAACTAAACAAAATGATCACAAAACGATCAGCTTTAAAAAAAAAACTGGAAAAACCGAATGAAAAAAGAATGTTAACAACAAATACTTTTTCACGCCCAACTCAGTTCTGCGGAATCAGAATCAACGTTGAGTTTAAGCAAGCGAATGAGCCAATTGAAGTAAAGTGCCATGCAGATTTAAATTTTTCTCACTTCTCACGAATGCAGCTATCGATTATTTTGCGTGCTAGCATGCTAGTTAACATTCATGTCAGTCAGCTGTTGGCTCACACGCTGGCCAATAGAATCTTCCTGCTTATTCGAGGCAGCCACTATAAGCTCTCACTCTGTCCAGTACAAAATGGCCGCAAACTACATGAAAACTGCTGTAGAAGCATGAAAAAATCGATTATTTCTACTATCGATGGGAGTTGGGAAATGCAAAGTCGGTCTTGGCCTTCCCGCTAACTTGGAGCATGTGCATGTAAATTTTGGTGCAAATTCGTCGAAAATTGCGGCCGTGCATTCGTTACACACACACACGCACATCCTGCCTTTTATAAATAGAGATATATGTAGTTAAAATTCCGTGGGTAAGTAATCCAAATGAAACTAAATATAAAATATTAATACTAATCCACAAAAGAGAGCGCAATATATTTATTACAGAGCATATAAATGAATTACATATAAATGAAATTCAATTATACCCCTTTTAAATGGCCATTTCGTTCCTCGAAAAATTTGTCTCCTTGAGAAATTCCCTGGAGCTTGTCAATGCCAAAACGTTTATCAAACATTTTGGTATTTATAAATAATTCATATATATATATATATATATATATATATATATATATATATATATATATATATATATATATATATTATGCAAATTAAATTAAGAAAATAATTGTACCTGCCAGGTTATCACTTAACTTACAAACTATTAGCCTTAACTTGTAAAGCAATGCTTCATAAACTATTTATGCCCCCTTTATTTTATAAACCCTGACCTTAAAAACTATTTTTTTACCTTATAAACTGTTTCATTTATTTTATAAACGCTTACATTATAAATTATTTCTCTTACCTTCTGAACTGTTCCATTTACTTTATAAAATATTACCTCATAAACAATTTTTCTTGCGTTCTAAACTGATACCTTTCTTCTGTAAACCCTTACATTATAAGTTATTTCTCTTACCTTCTGAACTCTTCCATTTACTTTATAAACCCTTACCTCTTAAACTATTTCTCTTACCTTATAAACTGCCCCCTTTATTTGATAAAATCTTACCTTAAAAACTATTTCTTTTACTTTATAAACTTTGTAGTCATGTATCTTGCCTTTGGAAAAAGAGTCATTCTTGAAGTAACGGAGATATTTGAAAATTAAAAAAAAAACAGATAAATCAATAGTGTCACTATCGAATTTTATCAAATATAATTCTGAGCCCCAGTTTTTTTGTCGGGATTTTTCACAATATATATTGTACTTATTTTCTTCATCGCCACCCCCTTAAGAAAACGACGAATAAATTCTTCGAAATGCAATGCAAATTAATGAAATCTGTCCGCTATATTCGCAAGATGTTTCTGTTGGCATTCTTCATCTAGACTCTCTGAAGAAGCTAGATTTCAAGTATGTAAATTCTTGTAGTGTTAATGTATTTTAACTTTTACGTCTAAATTTGTAATGAATTTGTTGGGCCCCAATCAAGTAATCTTCCGTGCCACTGATTACCTTTTCTCTGTACCAATGCCTGACTGAATTTAGTCGTTTGGTCCCTTCTGTGTGACCTCTTCGACTGTTCATTCTTCCATGTTGTCTCCTATTACGAATTATCCCTGATTTTACTCTTTACATTCCGTATTGTTAGTTTTTTTCTAACTTTGTTTTCAAACTGTATTGCTAGTTTCCATGTTTCGGATCTTCACATTATGGCGTCATACATTCGTTTTTGGTTTGGTTTGTGTTGAAACTTGACTAATGCATGGAATAATAATGCAACACAAAATGTACTAAGAACAAAATGTATTGAAACAAGAAAGTGTACACAATATTTACATATAATCTTTTTGTATATTCCTGGTAAGACCGTTCCTGGAGAATGTGTTGACTTAGTCGCATCGGGCAGAGTCTCTGGATTGAATCTCTTGATTCCTTCCCTCGTCTTCCCGGTACCAACCATATTTATATGGTCGGTACTCCACTATGCAAATTAGGTGGATCCTACTACAACAGTTTGTTTTGTTTTACGGTATATCAACCTCAATGGGTCATTTTAATGTCGACAATATTGTTTCCCAAAAATATATGGCTGATACTATTTTTCTTAATAAAGAATATACTGATCGTAATAATGTCTTGCAGGAAACAATTTTATCTTCAAAAAAGTATTTCTGGTAATATTTTTTTCCAAAAAGGTATTGAAACCTATTTTTACACTTTCATAGCGTTTTGACCCCACTTTTGAGTTACTTATTTACCCATAGCTGGAACCCTGACAAGTGCCACCAACCCGGATCAGGGTGGACCTAGGAACACCAGCAATTAAGAGGTGGTTTTGCGCTCCTCAAAACCTCCTGGTTAGAGGCCTTGCTGTCGGATGTAGTTTATCGTCTTACCCAGAACGCGGATGTAGTTTATCGTCTTACCCAGGACACGGATGTAGTTTATCGCCTTACCCAGGACGCGGATGTAGTTTATCGTTATACCTATGGTAGGCTTTCGTTATAAGCTTTATCTCTTCCGCCTAGAGGCAAAGTACTTTCAACTGTGTCTCGGTTTGGTTTGGTTTGTTTTGTTTTACGGCATATCAACCTCAAAATGTTATTTAATGCCGACAAATTCTTTATTGCTAGTTATATTTTCTATCTATCTATCTATCTATCTATCTATCACAATATATATTGTTTTGGTTTAGTTTGTTTAACGGCATATCAACCTCAATGGGTTATTTAATGCCGACAAGATTTTTATTGCTGGTAATATCTATCTATCTATCTATCTATCTATCTATCTGCCTGTCTCAGTATATATTAGTTTGGTTTGTTTTGTTTTACGGTTTAGCAACCTCAAAGGGTTATTTAATGCCGACAAAATCTTTATTGCTGCTAATATTTTTTATCTATCTATTTCAGTCTATTTCTATGTTTATTTTTTTGTTTGTTTGTTTCTTTTTTTCTTTCTATCTATCTATCTATCTCAGTCTATTTATATCTATCTATCTATCTATCTCAATATATATTGGTTTGGTTTGTTTTTCGGCATACCAACCCAGCTGGGTTATTTAATGCCGACAACATTTTTATTGCTGCTAATATATTTTTCTTCAAAAATGTATTACTGGTAAAAAATTTTTCTTCAAAAATTTATTGCTCGTAATAATTTTTTATATAAATATTTTTGGTATTAAAACCTATTTTTACACTTTTATAGTGTTTTGACCCCAATTTAGGGGTTAACTATTTGCCCATACCTGGGACCCTAACAGGTATGGTCAGGGTGAACCTGGGAACACCAGCAATTAAGAGGTGCTTCCACGCTCCTCAAAACCTCTTGATCAGAGGCCTTGCTGTCAGATGTAGTTTATCGTCTTACCCAGGATGCGGATGTAGTTTATCGTCAGACCCAGGACAGCAATTGTGTCTGTATTTTATTGATTGAAAATGCACCTATTAGTGACATGTATATGTAAATCGGTAGAATTGGGACAACCGCTTAATCGGACCAAATCACTTTATTCCTCTTGTGTCCGAATTAGTAAAATGTCTGAGATATCACGAAAATTGGAAAAGACTGCTAAAAAAAGAAACAGCAACGAAAGAAAAAATTAGTTCACGTGTTAATCGGGCAATTGTCTTCGTTTTTATTGCCATATGATTGTTTTGTTCCAAGCGCGAAGATGAAAGAAGAAAACAAATAAATAAATGAGAATATTAAGCGAATTCTAAAGACATGCCCCCGAGCATGACCGAAGTATTTATCGGCCGAAACGAGAAACGAGAAAGACTGTCGTTCGAATATCATGTGTAGTACTGAATATACATCATGTCAGAACAACAAGAAAAGAAAGATAAATTGAAAATAGATAGACGAAGAGAAACAAGGAGAGAAGTGAATGGGAATTAGAAAGACAGTCAGAAGTAGACGGAGAAGGAAAAGAGAGACAAACTCGCGCCAAAAAGAAAGATAAAGAACAACAAATCTATTTCTCTTTACCATGTCAAATTGATGAATGAATTTGGTACAACATCAGGACGTGTTGGGTGTATGGGAGCGAGAAATGAAGGCAGTAGAGGAAATCGAATGTGTTGTGGGGTGCTAGGTGAGATGGTAAGGTGTTGGAAAACAAAGAAAGGAAAAGCACTCTTTTTTTTTTTTTTTTATTATTCACTAAATGTTATTGACTGTAAACAAATACTGGGCAGGAAGGGGTGCCCATTGCTCCCGGCGAGTTTTTCAAGATTTTTTTTTTTGTTTCCCCATCTTTTCCACTTTTAGCATAGCTTGTCACTGTTCAATCGGGAAATGGCCAGACCACGTTAACAACGTTTAAAGTCACGTGTAATCTCGTTCCGTCCATTCGCAGATTTCAGTTCCAGTTTTTAGCGGGAATTGCATAAAAGAATGAAAGAGATGGTAAAAGGAATTTTATACAGGGGAGCGTGTAAACATTTAACTCGCACACGTGTCACATGCAGACACATACATAAACATATACAAACACGTGTGCGTACAAACAGCCACATGACTGCATATTCATATTCTGCAGACAAACCTACATATGCATTGCCCACAAATACCCGATCATACGTCGACACTGGGAGATGCAGATACATGTAAGCCTATAGACACCGTTACGCATAATCTTTTACTATTGTTACCCCAATACAAGTCCTAAGAGCCACTCAAGGTAGATGGTTACGGTGTGGAGATATATTAGCGTAGGATAGGACAAGCGTTAGGAGTATAAATCTGAAGCAGTCTCTAGAAGGAACAAAAACCCAATCATATACAAAAAAACATGACAAACGTTTATTCCTGTTCAAAAGACACACCTAGAGAAATATGTCCAGATATACGCACACAGATGCGACGATGCATGTGCAAACAAATGCACACGATCGCCTAACTTTTCAGTATGGTGCAAACACGATGCATTATCTATCGCCTTGTGCCAGACTAAACACGCCTGCATTTACATATCCCTGCAAAATACTTTCAAAACCATATAAACCCAAATACCCCATATGCACACCCTAATGTATAGTAAATGCGTAGTTTAATCTATATAATAAATACGAATGTCAGTGTGTCACTGTGTCACATTTTTTCAATTAAAGGGGCACAACTCTTTAACTTTCAATAGCTCATGTTACAGAAAATTTGGATTCCCAAGTTTTCATTTCTGTGATTGTTTTTGGCGATTTTATACGTGATTCTTTGCCAGTAATTCTTTTGTAAGTTAACAATTTTTATAACTTGGAAATAAATTTGGGAATATATCGAAATGAATTGCGAAATACAATGAAAGTCACCGATGAAATAAAAGTAATTGTTTGTACAGAAAGTAAGGACCTACGTATAGCAAATTCTCTTTAAATTCAAGTAGCGACAGTAGAATTATCCTTGAACTTTTAAAAGATAAGCTTAAATGCAGCAATCAATTTTAAGTTCTTCTGTAGTTTATTGTTGCCGGTCGCATAAGGCAGCGTTATGTTTCGCAAAAAGAAACCTTCGCCAACAAAGGACGGGATTGCAATCAAAAGTGTCAAAGTTCCGTTCAAATGAAAACCCAGATTAAACGGCAGCCAACTGGTCTAGGAGAAGGGCAACTCTGAATTCGAAACCTGCGGAATGTCATTTGGGGACGTTGTGTCACGTAATGCACCAGGTCGCTGTATATATATATATATATATATATATATATATATATATATATATATATATATATATATATATATAGTGTACGTCAAAATAAACATAATACTATCAATATATACTATTGTAATTGTTATGGGACCTTACCTATAATAACATAATGGACGTAATAAATACTGCGCCTCAAGAGGAAGCAGGGAGTTCCGTCTGAAGTCTAGAGTTCCATCTGAAGTCAAGAGTTCCATCTGAAGTCTGGAGTAAAGTCTTAAGTCTGGAGTGAACTCCGTCAGGAGTCTGTCAATCAGTCAGAGCGAGTCAGTCAGTCGAGTCAGAGGCAGTCCGAAATCGCGTTCAGACAATTACTACTAATCCTTATTGTTCGTACTAATCCTTCTCTACCTCTCTGTATATATTCCTGTTTGTAATATATCTGTGTTATTCCATATCCGCCTTCGAGTTCTTCTTTATTGGTTCTACCTTGGACTATCACCCGTGGTACAAGGAACCGGGCCATAACAGTAATCAAATGCATAATAATTACAAATGCGATGAAATAACACTCAAAAACATAACAGGTACAAATGTTAAACCCATTAATAATAATAAACAAGTTAAAGCTCGTCATATATTATAAAAAAATTTAAAACAATTGACCTCATAGTTTCTAAGCCTACTACACACAACTAAATCCTCTACAAAAAGAACAATGTAATGTATCAATTTACATGCCCATTAAGAAATTGTATGTCTGATATTAATAATATGCCCACTATATAAATTGGTTTTACCACAACCACGCTATCCCGTAGACCTACCTGTCACTTTTCTAATCTTAGTTCTATTAACCTTTACCACGCTATTTTTTTCTAGAATTGTTTCTCCTGCCACTGCATTGTTTTGAGGGTGCAAAAACAAGAACACCTACTGTTTTAAAATTGTTATAACTTTCTTTGTATTGTGCGTATAGAGTTTAATTTTTGTACACTAATAAAAGAATGAATGAGGAATATTTTGATGCAATGCATTATATAATCCATTACGTTTTGCATGCATGTTTTGACGTTGAAACAAAAGTAATTGAAACGCAAAATAAAAAAAAATTCGAAATAAAAATTAAATCCATTAAAACATTCATGAATAATTCAACTTTTATTACTCCTTATGGAGTTCCGAGGGTGTAATAAGAAGCAAAATCGCTAAGGAGGCTTTCATTTCGTCAAAAAGGTGACGTGTTTCCTCGAGTTTATATATAACATAAAACTAGCATTTTTTACTGTTTCTTTCGCCTGACTCATAATAATTTGTCTCGTTGAAGAATAAAGTTATTTCGTCTTTTATAAATAGACAAAATAATTCACCTTCAGAAAGGCTATCAGGTATATCGATGGTCACCAATAGATTCCATAAAATTACTCAGGCATGGGTGATAGTAGCCGCTAGTGGTCATCGTCGCTTTCCTTCACGTTATTGGCGTGGTTATCATCGCCGACCACTTCAACGTCAATATCCATTCGAGAAAAGCCTTCAAAATCATCATCAGGTGATATATATATATATATATATATATATATATATATATATATATATATATATATATATATATTTTTTATACAACTTTAAAAACTATAACTCAACTAAATTTTAATATTCCATATTCATGGGGAAGATAGCATATTCTATCTATCTTGCCATCTCATCAGGAAGGAACGTGCGTTGGATTAATTCTAGTTTCCAAATGAATAATAACCAGCAGCACACTGGCAATTAAATTCATATACTAAAGAGCAATTTGATGTGGGGCAATACATCTTGCGAAAAACGAAACAAGACCTAGTTTGTCCCTCGCTATTTATTTACGATAACCTTCCCTCGTTACAAGTATATATACTTGTTCGTTATTTTAGTGTTTCCCCCTCTTTTTTGCTCTTCAATATCGCTATTATTCATTTCGCTAATCAACGATTGTCTCCTGATGAGATGGTGGCTGAAAGGGCTCTAGAGACTTTTAATATTAAAATCAATGGTTTCCTAGTTTTTAAAACTATTTATAAATTTTGTACCTCCAAACATTTGTTTATATATATATATATATAATCAAAGAAAAAACTTCTGAATAAAGGATATCTCTCCCGAGTAAGACCTCCTCCCCATGACTAAAGACTGTGTGTACGCTATCCCGTGCAGCTGCGGAAAGAAATAAAGGGGAGACAGGCCGCCCCTTTAAGGTAAGAACACCAGAAAGCTGTAAAACGAGGGAAAGTGGAAAAATCAGGTTTGGCTGACCAGATATGGAGAGAAAAGGGAGATCACCGCCCTCTGTGGGATCAGGATGAGATCATAGACAAGGAACACCACTGGAAAATTCGTAAACTTAACACTTTCACTGCTACTCATTTGCCAAAGTGCTGCCTCCCATCCGGACAGCCATTTTTAAAGAAAATGCCAAATTTCAACCTTCATATTTTATTACACAGAAAACTGGCACCAGTGTGTTTTACATCATTCCATTTTCATGGATATACCTGGGAATGACTTACCAGATTAGTAATGGGTATACACATGATATCTTTTGAAGCATTGTCCTTTGTGATTTGACGATAGATGGCGCATACCAGCGGTATGCAAAAAAACGTAGGTTTCCGTAATTAGCCAGCTGGAGCAAGATAAGAAAAACGAAGATCTCCATAGTTAGCAGCGGAAGTGTTAAGGAGTCAGCATATATGCTAGGCTACAAAAATCTCCTGAGCCGACCAAGCATAGAAATTAATACAATATGGGAACCAGTAATAAGGAGTGCCAGAGAAAAGCGATAATAACAAAAAATTGCAATATGAGCTCTGCTAAAACTTGTATGATAACAGCAAAAATTGCAATATGAGCACTGGTAAAAAATGGTTGCTGAAGAGGTTTATAACACCCAGAAATTCATTCATGTTCTCAAGGACACATGGCACAGTGGATAAAGGCGTTGGTTAGATCCAGTGACAGGGCCCGAAGAGTGTGAGTTCAATACCTAGTTAAGACAGTGGAGAAACTGCAGAAGGGAATTAGCAGGAGATAACTGCTAACTGACATCCATTAAACATGGCGCATGGAACTAGAACAGTCCACCCCAGTGAGCGAAATAAACGGTTCAGTTCGACATTCCAACCAACTGAAGATGACCGGATCGTACATCGGCCGAAACGTTGTATTAAATATGGCGACAAAGATGAGGACAATAGTCCGAATAATGTAAATAATATTCTTTATTTCCTTTTTCTATTTTAGTCGCTTTCTTCACTGTTTCTATTTTTTTGTATCTTTCTTTTATTTACCATTTCTTCCTTTCTCTTTGCATATTTTTCATACTTCTTCACTTTTTTCTTTTATTTGTTTTTTTTATTGCCTCTTTTATTTTTATTTTGCTTCTTCTTCTTTTACATTATTTTTCATTTCATTTTTTTTATTTATTTATTTTCCCTCTCGTAATTGATTTTATTCTTTGCCATTTTCTTTTTTTCTCATTCCATTCTACGAAATATTTTAATTTTTATATCTTTTCTTCTTCAGTTTCTTTTACTTTTTTTTCGTTTATTCTAAATTATCTATTGTTTAATTTTTTCTTTTTCTTTTCTCCTTTTTTTTTGTAATTTTTTTTCTCTCTTTTCTTCTTAATTTATTTTTATTTCGTTTTTTTTTTCTATTTTTCATCTTTTTTTTATTTTTCCTTTCTCTTTCGTTTCAGCTAAATTTTATATTTTTTATCTATTTTCTTTCCGCCTTCGTTTCTTTTAAATTTTTTCAATTTTTTTCTCTTTCATTTCTTCTAATTTTCTTATTTTTCATCTCTTTCATTTTTCTTTTATTGCCTCTTTTATGTTATTTTATTCTTTTCCTTTTCATTTCTCCTCATTTTTACTATTTTTGCTTTTTCTTTTTCTATGTTCTTTGCAAAATCTTTCACTTTCTTTCTTTTTCTTCTTTTCTTTTTCCTTTGTTTTTTTTTCTTTTCTTTACTATCTGTTTCACTTTTCTTCTTTTTTTCTTTTCCGTGCGTTTTTCTCATTTTCTTCTCTCATTCTTCGTTTTCCTTCTCTCTCTTTCCATGTCTCATTTTTCCTTTTCTCTTTTTCCATGTCTCGTTTTCCTTCTCTGTCTTTCCATATATCGTTTTCTTTCTTTCTCTCTCTTTCCATATATCGTTTTTCCTTCTCTCTCTTTCCATGTCTCGTTTTCCTTCTCTCTCTCTCTCTCTCTTTCCATGACTCGTTTTCCTTCTCTCTCTCTCTCTTTCTTTCCATGTCTCGTTTTCTTTCTCTCTCTCTCCCTCTTCTCTTTCGATATCTCGTTTTTCCTTCTCTCTCTTTCCATGTCTGTTTTTCCTTCTCTCTCTTTCCATGTCTCGTTTTCTCTCTCTCTCTCTCTCTCTCTCTCTTTCCATATCTCGTTTTTCCTTCTCTCTCTTTCCATGTCTCATTTTTCCTTTTCTCTTTTTCTATGTCTCGTTTTTCCTTCTCTCACTTCTCATGCCTAGTTTTCCTTCTCTCTCTTTCCATGTCTCGTTTTCCTTCTCTCTCTTTCCATATCTCGTTTTCCTTCTCCCTCTCTCTTTCCATATCTCATTTTTCCTTCTCTCTCTTTCCATATATCGTTTTCTTTCTTTCTCTCTCTTTCCATATCTCGTTTTTCCTTCTCTCTCTTTCCATGTCTTTTTTTCCTTCTCTCTTTCCATATCTCGTTTGTACTTCACTCTATTTCAATATTTCGTTTTCCTTCTCTCTCTTTCCATGTCTCGTTTTCCTTCTCTCTCTCTCTCTCTCTCTCTCTCTCTCTCTCTCTTTTCCATTTCTTGTATTTTCACTTTTCTTCTGTCAAACTTTTCTTCCTCGCTATTTTTATTTATTTTTTCCTTCGAATTCTTTCTTTCGTACTCTTTCTTATTCGTTCTTTTTCTTCGTCTGCCTCTATCCATTTTCTCTCCTAGTGCTTCTTCTGTTACATTCTTCTTTCTTTTTCTTTTTTTTTTTTTTTCGTTTTCCTACGTTATTTCTCTTCAATTGCTCCTTCACCACATCGGTCTTATTCACGACTTTCCTTCTCTTTCTTTCTTTGCCATTCTATTTCTCCATTTTATTTTTGCGTTCATTCATTCTTTCTTTCTTCTTTTCCTGTTTCTTTCATCTGCTTCTACATGCATTTCCTTTCTTTTTCTTCTTCACTTCCCATTCTTCTTACTCGTTCACTGCTTTGCTCTCCTCTTCTTTTTTGTTACTACTACTGCTACTACTGTGAATAATGATATTACTTCTTTTTCATCTTCTTTCTTTTTTTTTCTTTTTTTTTTTTTTTTTTTGTTGTTTTTACGCTATTTATTGCACTTTATCCAGACCCCAACTTTCAAAAGCCTTTCCCTTGAACTTCACTCTTATTCCAGACCCGGACTTCACATAATTTAGGCGTATATCTCCGTAGCAAACAGAACTTCTTCCTTCGTTCTTTCTTTCTTATTTTCCTGTTTCTTTCATCTGCTTCTTATTTTCACGAAGAACGATTTAAAAAAAAATGGCTACCCATTGTTGATCTTAAAATCTATCTTTGCGTTTTTGCCTCGATGCTCTGTAGTCCTCTTTTTAGTAAGGAATATAAGTGGAGAAGCCAAAGGATGGGTAGTGAATAAAACAAACAAATAAAAAGTCAACAAAATGAAAAGCGGGGAAAATAGATACTAAACAAAGACGCCATGAAAAAAAAAACAACAAGAAACAAACAGAAACGAGACAGTAAATATCAAACTTACAAAAAGCAGATAAGCATTTTACAGTGCTGCCTCACTGAGTCGGCTGACAAGAGTGATCAGCTTGACGAAACAAACTATCAAAAAATGGCAACACCGCGCGGCAAATCTGCCGTCCGTCCACTTGGAGGGCTCTTATCGAGAAGGTCATTGCTGACGTCATACACGCTTTTGATAGCGACGTTGGTCGGTAGGTGGTGGGTGGAGAGCTAGCGTCTTTAAACAACGCCGATGGAGAGACGTGTGCCGCTTAGGGCTACTGACCGTTCCCATGACTTTCGTAACAGGCCAAAAAGACCACTGGAAAGAAAGTTTGAAAAACAACGACAATAATAACAAAAAAAAAAAAGAGTGGGAATAGAAAATGAAAAGTAAATGGTAGCTGACGAGGTGGTGGCGGATAGAGAAAAAAAAAAGATTCAAAAATATATACAATGAATAAGAATAAAAGGAAATATATATATATATGTCTGTTCCCTTTTTCCGTTTCCTGTCACCTCATGCAACGAAAGAATTTCAGTACAGTGGCTCTATTAAGCGGAAGTAAGCAGTTGCTAAGCGTTCATTTTGTTTGAATGAAGGTTGGTCCATTCCGAAGGGCTTCTTCCCGTTTCTGTAGATGCCTAAAAAGGATAGGAGGCAGCGATAAAAAGACAAAATATCATTGTCTGTGACTGTGTAGAGGGCATCGTATCTATATCAATCTAAAAACGCACACATGTCCGTTCACAGAGACACAAACATCTGCAATGTGTACTTAAGAATATATCCGTTTGACGTTACCAGATTTTTTGCATCTATCAGATTTTTATTTATATCTCTGTCTGTCTGTATCCACATTTTTATCTGTTTGCCTATCGATCAATATATTATTTCCGATTGCTAATATCTGTTAGTATATATATATATATATATATATATATATATATATATATATTGCATATATTTTGGCAGCATGTTTTCATTAAGACATGGCTCATTGAATGATTTAGAATAATTTAGAAAAGTTTTGTCTACTTATTTTCAATAGGATCCTTTCATATTCACGGAGAGGCTTCTTAGTATCCTTATTAAAGGAAGAGAGGAAAATTACCATCTGTTGACACATATTCACTTACTCTGAGTACTTTCGACATTAGCACAATGTCCTTCCTCTGCCTCTAATGATCTATATTACATGAAGATCTATATTACATGAACGGTTTTGTTCATATGAAAGTTTTTTTTTATTTGTTTTTTTTTACCTGTGAAGTTAAAAACGATAAGCTTATACTGTACGGTTTAAATCTCACGACGTAAACGTCAGGGGAGGTAACTAATTTTTGAAATGTCCATATAATTCTTAAAAAGTTACGCAAAATCTAGACTGATAATGACACTGTGCTAATATATATATATATATATATATATATATATATATATATATATATATATATATATATATGAATGCTATTTCACACCTCGAGCATGATTCTGAGTCCCATGTACAGCGCAATCTTCGGGTGCAGATTTCAAATCGACGGTTTGAATCAAAATATATCTGGTTATCACGACGCTGATGTGATGATAATTAATGTTACTGATATTTAATATTGAACCTTAAAGATTGTAAAGTAATTAGTGACTACTTGTAATTATTTAAATACATTCTTATGTTTATACGTACTTTTTATATATAAACTTAAAAAATGTCTTAAAATAATTGTCGGACTTTGTCTATTTCATAATGTGTGACGTCATTTGCTTACATTTGATACGCCATAAGCAGATATGAATGTACGTGAGAGAATTGTAGTTTAAAAACAGTAAAATCGACCTTGCTAACCGAAATGCTCCTCTGTGGCTGAATCGGTAAAGCACGCCAGATCCTATATAAGTATATATATATTGGTCTTTATATATATATATATAATGAAAAGGATAAAGTCCGACAATTATTTTAAGACATTTTTATGTGTATATGTTCTTTTGATAGATACAAATATTTAAGTAAATTCTCTGCTTATAATAAACAGTATTAACAACATTTACCTGCCTGAATGTTCGAGAAATTTTCATAGAAAATATAAACAGACCATTTACTTAAATATTTGTATATAGAAAAAAACGCATAAACATAAAAATGTCTTAATAGTTGCCGGGCTTTGTCCATTTCATAATGTGTGACGTCATCTGTTTACATTTGGATACGCTTCGACATATATATATATATATATTTATATATATATATATATATATATATATATATATATATACTATTTCACACCTCTAGCATGATACTGAGTCCCATGCACAGCGCAGTCTTCGGATGCAAAGTTCAAATTGACGGTTTGAATCAAAATATATCTGGTTATCACGACGCTGATGTGATGATAATTAATGTTACTGATATTTAATATTGAATTTTAATGATAGTAAATTTCGCAAAAATAAGTGGGAGAAAAGAAAGGAGAGAGGAAAATTTTAAATATGTAAATCAAATTTTAAACTAATGATAAAATGGAAAAATAAAAAAAAATAAAATGGAGGATAAAATATAAGGTCGGTGCAAAAATAATGACGTAATAATGTCGTTTTTGACGTTAAAAAATACGCCAAAGAACGACATTATTACGTCATTATTTTTGCACCGACCTAATATAATGGTCAAAGTGGGATAATAATAAAAACAACGGTAAAAATGGGATATATCCGTCGTCGTCGGCATCCGTCCGTCTCCGGTAGACGATGGAGTAGCGCCTGTCACTTCCCGTGTTGTGCCGATGTCTTGCGACGTCGCTGGAGTATCCTCTCCGGTGCGCTACGAGCCTGGGCAGGATGTATGGAGAACTAGAGCTGCCCGGACGTCTAGTTCCCCCTCTCGGCCTTGCTAACAGAGTCAAGAGGAGAGGATGAACCAATACAGTTTGGTACCAGCGCGGCTGGAGGAGTTGCCGGAAGGTAGCACAGAGTGCCGTGCATCCCCCTTGGGGGCTCCACTCCAGATTTGTATAGGGTTTACTCCTTGGCTTTTCCTTCTCCCGAAGATTTCCACAAGGCAGTCGAGCTATTTAACCCATAGCTGGGATTTGGTTCATGGGCACCAGGGCGTGTCTACACACCGGTGGACCTGCATGCCCCATGTTAATTGGGCCAAACTCCTCCCCCGTCCCCTGTAGTTTAGCCCGAATCCGCAAGGTGTTCGGAGGAGGCACTACATAGGGCTTGCTGATGGAGAGGCTATATACTGGCAGGTGAAGACTTACGCACTCGGCCCCCCCTTTTCGCATTGCTGCTAGCCAGCGGCGGTAACTGAAAGCGAGACATTAGACGCATCACAACAGCCTTTGAGACACACAAAAAGGGGATATATGATATACTGGAAAAATAAAAAAAAATGTAGAAAAGAACGTTTTAAGAGCCAATCTGGTGTAGTGTATTTAAGGAGTGTTTATTTTTGTGTCTACGAGTAATAATTAATTCACTCCTTATGTTCAATAATTTAGGATTGAACATCATATGGCTCAATCCTTCTTTCAGTCGTAACGTTAAAACTAATTCTGGAAGATTTTTCCTCAGCTGAATTAATAGGCACTTCAACAATTTACCAACACTTAAACGGTTCTTTAATCTGAACAATGTTAAAATTACCTATTCATGAGTTAATAAGACAGACGCAGCCATCTCCCACCATAACAATTTTATATTAAACAAACATTTTCGTAAATATAATTACACTAATATCTCTGTAAGTAAATGCAACTGCCGAAGAAATACGATATGCCCACTAAATGGTCAATATATTACCGACAACATGATATGCCGAGCGAACATAAAGTCGGCAACGCTGTTAAATTCTTTGGTTTCACAGACAACCCTTGGAAATTGCGTCTTTTACCATCTCAAAATGACCTTAACAAACGTAAAATATAAATATAATACTGCTTTCCCTCTAAAATATTTCTGGCAATTGAAAGATAGGGGATTTCACTATCTATTAACTGGGAAATTGTTTCTAGGTGCAAGGCTTTTCATGGGAATTGTTTTCTTTGTTCAGCAGAAAATGCATTTATTCTGAAAAAAAAACTTAGACAACCCTAAATTCGTGCATGAAATTCGGAAATTATCTCCACATAAATCGTGATACCTAAAGATTAAAAGTTTCTTTTTTAAATGAAAAATCTTTCTTGAAGCTTTTATTTTAATTTTAATTTCAAGCTAATAGATTGCATTTAATATTTCCAATAAAAAAAGATACTTTGCTCTATTTCACAAAATAATTTAAATTGACTGGAAGTGGGTTTTCGTTTTGAAATCAATAGCATCGCTGATTTAAGCGCCATTTTTAACCATCCTTTTAAGGAGGTTTTTATTTTTTGTGTCTATAAGTAGTTACTAATTCACTCCTCAGATGCAATAATTTACGATTGAACATCCTATGGTTCAATCCTTCTTTCAGTCGTAACGTTAAAACTAATAATACAATTCGCTTTATTAAAAAAATCTTACAAAAATAAAACTTAGATTGCTGAAACTTTATTTTAGGAATATTAACTGACTAACAGGAGAGACCGGCGTTGCCCGGGGATGTAACAGTAAGAGATAGATCAAGTATCGACCATCATGAATACTGTAAAACAAAATTGACAAAGATTATTGTTTGAGGTTGACGGACACGCATGTCTTAATTAGTCTTTTTTTGTTTTTTGGGGTTTTTTTTTTACGAATTGGTCAAACCCAAACTCAAACAAAAACATTGTTTTTAATCATTATGAGTCTATCAATTGAATAGAATTTTATTATAAACAATTGTCTTGTAAATGGAATTTTTAAAGCATGCTAAATGTAAAAATGAAGACAAAAGTGTGCAAGACAATAAGAAACACTACCTGCCAAAAAAAAGTGAAGTTTTGTTGTAATCGGTTGAAAAATGTAGGAAATCCGATCCCATATATAAACGAATACACACACACACACAAACAACCTGGGTTTTATAATAAGTATAACTCGATATAAGTTGCCCCCCTTTCATTCTGGCGACAGAATCGTGTTTTATCTTGTTTTCAAATTGATTCTGTGCAAAAGCAATTGTGTTTTTCCAATTTTTGGTACTGACAGAACCACCGCAAGGAAATTTTACGTAGTCCTGTAAAGTTTTGTTGAAATCGGTTGAAAAATGTAGGAAATCCGATCCAATATATAAACGAACACACACACACACACGTACACACACACACACACACACACAATCTGCGTTTTATAATAAGTAAGATTTACAGTTTAATTAATCTGATTTGAAACAAATATTACTTACTTTAAGTTTAAAATATCACAAAAATGTATTTTTAACACAGTGGTAGCTTCTTTTTAAGTATTGACATAATAGCTTGATGGTAAGTTTATCTAATCTTTTCCTACGGTATATATATCTGTAAAAATTTCGTGAGGAATATAACGTGAGCCCCTTTATTATATATATATATATATATATATATATATATATATATATATATATATATATACTATGGATCGTTTACAACAATACTCAACGAAAAAAAAAGATCCTGGGGTAAGCGACATGAGCTAACTTTAGCCACCTCAAAAGCAGGTCTTCATCCTTAGAAAATCATGTTGTGCCTCTGGTGGGACTGGAAAGGAATTCTGTACTATGAACTTCTGACAAGTAACCAGTCAATTGATTCTGAAAAGTACTGCTCCCAACTAGACGAATCAAAGGCAGCAGTTCAAGAAAAATGTTCAGAATTGGCGAACTACAAAGGTGTTGTTTTCTTTCAATATAATGTCAGGCCTTACGTTTCTCCGGCGCCCCGGAAAAAAAAATTTGCAGCTTGGCTGGAATGTGTTACTCCACCCGCCATATTCACAAGCAATTGCTACTTCGGATTTTCATTTATTCAGGTCCTTGCAAAATAATCTCAATAATAAAAATTTGGGACGGAATAGATGGATTCACACTTTTCCCTAGGGTATTTGTGCGTAAGTGATTTTAACAAACCCGACTGGAATTCGACCTCAGCTATCCGATTTCTTGTTCCAAACCGTTACCCATTGCATCACAACGCACACACAATAATATAGATTAAAAATAAAAAAAAGGGAAAAGTTAATGTATTGTTTGTTTCTGTTTCATAAGTAAATTCCATCGTCTACTCCATATTACTTATTTTTATTTACAGTATAAAGTCGTCCTGGGTAAGACGTTAAACTACATCCGCGTCCTAGGTAAGACGTTAAACTACGTCCACGTTCTGGGTAAGACGTTAGACTACGTCCACGTTCTGGGTATGACGATAAACTACATCCGCGTCCTAGGTAAGACGTTAAACTACGTCCAGCAGCAAGGCCTCTGATCAGGAGGTTTTGAGGAGCATGGGACCACCTCTTAATTGCTGGTGTTTCCAGGTCCACCCTGACCCGGGGTGGTAGCACCTGTTAGGGTCCCAGCTATGGGCAAATAGTCAACTATTATCAGCAATACTTTTCTGAAAAAAATTATTACCAGCAATACAATTTTGAAGGAAATATATTACCAGAAACAGGTTTTTGACAAAACAAAATATTACCAGCAATAAATTTTTTTGTCGGCATAAAATAACCCATTGAGGTTGATAGGCCGTAAAATAAAATAAACCAAACCAAACAGTATAAAGTAATATCACAATCAAAGAGTCAAAAGAGTATTTCGGTCATGAAGCTGACATTAACATATTATTGGTAGATGATTGTTTTTGTTTAGGGCATATCAACACCTCTATGGGTTATTTAATACCGAAATCTAAATATTTTCTACGCAATTTTCTTTTTGATAATTATGGTTTTAGCAATACAATCCTTACTATTTAACCCATAGCCGGGAGAGAAGATATGGATTCATAACATTCTCAAGGATATTTGCGAGTAACAAATCCAACTGGAATTGGAACTCGGCTCTGCGATTAACAATTCCGAGCCATTATCCATTACACCACCCGCACATCCAAGTTACAGCACCTGGTATTCCCAAGCGGTTAGCCATTGACCTAGGCTCGACGTTGCTTAACTTCAGGGATCGTACGGGAACCGGTATTTCAACGTGGTGTGGCCTTAAGCCTTGACATATTGTGAATGTTTCTTGGAGAATGTTGTAGATGCCATATTAGAATCTACATATTGGAGATAAAAGTCCAACACATTCGTAACTTTATGAAAAGACCGAAGAATAATAATGAATTCATATTGTCTTTTAACTTTACTTATCTCAAATATTCTACTAAATAAATAGTCTAAAACAACCGATTTTGGACCATGCCCCTCTTTGGTATTTCTAAAATACTGACCCCACCACACACCCCTAATATTTAATTCTTACATATTCAAAATTTTACTGCAATTCCCGTGAAGGAAGATTAAGGGGCCATTAACTTGGTCTCTAAACAAGCCTCCAAGACCACGACGTCCATGAAAAAGAAAAAATTAAAAAAGCAAAAAGACAAATATATATAGTTATATATGACCTGACGTGCTTTACCGATTTAGCCACAGAGGAGCGTTCGGTTAGCAAGGTCGATTTTACTGTTTTTAAACTACAATTCTCTATGATTCTCTCTCGTACATTCATATCTGATCGATGCGTATCCAAATGTATGCAAATGTCATCACACATTATGAAATGGACAAAGTCTGATAATTATTTTAAGACATTTTTTTATGTTTATACGTTCTTCTTACATTTAAACGCATTAAAATATCTTAAAATAAAGAGAAAAATCATGGAGAATTGTAGTTTAAAAATTTAGTAAATGACGTTGTTTACTGAAACGCCCTCTGTGGCTCAATCGGCAAAAGCGTCAGGATATGAAGGTTCTGTATAGGATATAGTTATATATATATATATATATATATATATATATGAAAGCTTATTCTGTGATATGCTTTAATCATTTTAATTACGAAATAATAATGCAAAATGAAATTTGAGTTCTCTAGAAAACAATTCACTTAAGAACTCATTCTCGAATTGCTCCCTTATTCTGTTGGTGTAGTAAGCCGAAGGGTGCATATCCTACACATGCCCCACCAAAATATTACCATGACCCACACACGGGGCATGCGCCCCACGTTTTGTAATTTTTGGTCTAGAAGGCTTCACCGACGAAATAATTATGTAAATTACTTATATTTACGCGAATTAATCAATTTAAGCGATATTATCTACTGTACAAAAAATGTTGTCTTTTCTTATTTGGCATGATTCGCCTGTAAAATTTGTTGTATTTAATGTATTCTTCTGCAAACATTATATCTTATATTTCTTTCTTTGTACTTATTAACATATAAAAAATCATGGCATCACATGCGCGTTAGAGTTTGAGAAATGGATAAAAATATTAAAAATTGATGGGTGTACGAATAATTTCTTCATGACTGTATATATTTTATCAAAATAAAATATATAATAATTACATTACGACCGTGTTTAATGTTAGCAGTGAACTTGGTTCGTTTATTTTCGCTTTAGTTGCAGGAATGGCGACAACAACGTTCCTTGGGATTTAAATGTCACCGACGTCTGTTAAAACATTTGCTATTCTCTTAAATTTCATAAATTTGTAGCTCACATTTATTATATAACACCGCCGTCACATAAAAGATACGAGAATTCATACTCAAGCCTGTTGTTCTTTTTTCTTTTTCTTTTTTTCGTTGTTGTTTTTTTTTATGAGGTAGGGGATGTTTTTTTACGTGGCATGTTAAGGGCAATAAGTAGGACAAATGTTTTAAGCTTTTTTGACAAATGATAAATTTAAGTTATAGCAATCGTTAAGTGGAAGAACAGGATGAATTATTATTTAGTGGACTCTTCATTTAGTTTATAATGAGGTTGATTCTTGTTACAGTCGAATAATTAGATAGTAATTTATTTTTGTTTTAATCAAGGATCTTTTAGTCTCTGTTTCATTCCAATATATATATATTTATATATATATACATATATTTGTGTGTGTGTGTGTGTGTGTGTGTGTGTGTGTGGATATTATAACAAATACATTTAACAATCGCTACACAATTGCAGTTGTGTTCCAATGCATACAGATGCGTCTCCTCAGGCGATTGTAATTTATTGATGCGTGATCGATTAATTTGGTTTCAAAAGCAAAATACCTCCTCATTTTTTGAAAAAAGAAATATAAAGCTTGAAGGATTTACCCTGATCAACCAATCGTATATGACCTACGTTCAATTCAAACTAAACGAAAAAGAAAAAAAATCGAAATTACTATCATGGCCAACATTTAACATCTAACAAGGATTTAACATCAAATGTAATATTTTCCTAGAGTGTACTGAGCCCTCTTTTAAATTAAATGTTACGAACGTTGGAAGTGTACTCTATTCATCCTCATCGTACTTATATATATATATATATATATATATATATATATATATGATTCCCAAAAAAATTTCGCTTGAAGATGGAACAGAGCTTACTTTAACTCAATTTAATTCAAATAATTATAGTGAAGTTTTCGGCTCTTGTTTTGAAACATGAGACCTCTTATGTCGCGAGTTGGAATCATATTTTTAAATAAATAATTATATATATATATATATATATATATATATATATATATATATGAAAAAATTACTCGGAGTTAAGCTGTCGAAAAAGGCAACGTATAAAGGTAAAAGATAATAGGAAAACTGTATTATTATCCGACACGTTTCGTCGAATGTGAACTTTTTCAAGGCAAAACGAAATGAATTTATTGAAAACAAAATAACTATTAACAACAAAACAAAATGTCCTTAACAATTAGAAAAATTTAGAAAACGCTATTGCATTCATATTGTCAACTGAAAATTACGTCAATTACTTTCACGTGTAGAAATATTGTTTTTATTGAATTCGTCAACGCAACAACTTTGGACGACACGCGTCGACTAATAATACAGCTTTCCTATTGTCTTCTATCTTTATACATATATATATATATATATATATATATATATATATATATGCGTGCGTGTGTGTGTGTGTGTGTGTGTGTATGTTTTTAATATTGTATATAAAAAACATCTAACTGGATTATACTTGGATTATGGATTTGATATTATCCATTTATTTATATATGGATGTAATTTAAAGATCAAACGCAAATCAAATGTGGATCGGAATCGGACAGGATGATAAAATAAGAACAAATAGAAAATGTGTATCAATCTAATATGTATCAATTGTATAAAAGCTTCGTCAGAGATTGAGAGAAACAAACGAAAAACAGAAACACTGGTATTTTCAATTAAGTTTGGATCAGTTTTCATTGCCCAACATACCTCCAACATGCAGACACAACACAAGTATTAATTTATTCGAAAATTATGGCATAAATATGTTTTAAAATCACTACAAAAATAGCCATTTTGTTACAACACTTTTGGTGAATTATCAAGTGATGGTGTTGAATGTAGAACGTATTCTCTCTCTCTCTCTCTCTCTCTCTCTCTCTCTCCTATATATATATATATATATATATATATATATATATATATATATATATATATATATATATAGTTGTATATTTAGGCAGCGATCCTTCCTTTATGCATGTTTCATTAAAAACGACAGACAAGGTACTCCGGTTAAGCTTTTTATTTAATTTTTCTTGTGTTCGAACAAGAGCTTTCTTTTCTGGACAAAGGGTGTGTGAGAACTGTCCGAATGTTTTATATTTCCGAGCGCTTTCGGCTATACCTTTAGCCATTATCAAGGATGATTCGATTTTTCAGCTTAATTGAGTGTGTGCGTTATGTGTATGTCTTAGTGTGTTGTAGAGATGTTTTTAATTTCCGAATACGGTTAGCACATTGTGGCTTTGTTCGTAGTTCATATTGTTAAGAGTTGGCTTTTTCTTTTTTATTATTAAAGCTTCCATTATTTTTAGTCTTTTTTTTGCAGGTGGATGCAGTTAATATATTTGTATTTTCTACTATTATGTTCCTAATGGAATCGGGTAAATTTGTGTGTGTGTTTAAATGGGTTCTAATGGAGCTGTGATCAGATAGGTGTAATGTAAGACGTCTGGATAAGCATGTGGTTGTGTAACCGATGTAATTATTTATGAGTCCGGTTTAATCAGGAACACAGTTCCTTAGGGGCATTTAAACTCATAGATAATGTTCGTTCTTTGTAATTTTGACTTAGCTTGTGTGTAGTTATTTTTGAGGATAAGGTTGGCTGTCTTAAATTTTTTATAATAGATAATTAATTTGATTTTTTTATTCGGGTCAATTGGGGTACTGTATTTCTTTATAATATTTCTAAGTGAAGATTCGTCTGGTTTGTAATTAATGTGCATTTGGTTTTTGTATTAAATGTGTATGTAATTTTTAACTGTGTGTTGACTGTCATTATTATTTACTTTGGGGAGAAATAGTCTAATTTGGTGGTCTATAAGGTGGTTAGGGAAGCCGTTGTTGATTAGTGTTTGTTTAACATTATTAATCAACAACGGCTTACATCTATACATATATATATATAATTACTATAGATATATTAAGGAGATATATATTTTTTATTATTTCAGATGCATAAAATTAGCATGGTTTTAAAGAATTACATAATTTCAAAAAAGAAACAAAACGTACACTTATTATGTGATGTGAAAACAACGTTTGGAAATTGCGAAAAGTGATCAGAGAAGAATGAAGAATTCTAAACATTGGCAAAATTCCAATAAAAAGTATATATATATATATAGATATAAATTTATATATGAGGTAACAATATATATTTTCATATATCAAATATATTATTTTTTTATGCCAATATTAGGTTTCGTTTGGTTTGGTTTAATTTTGTTTAACGGCATATCAACCTCAATGGGTTATTTAATGCCGACAACATTTTTAGGATAGATTCGTATGAATAGAATATGTATTCTTTGGTTTAGATTGTTTTGTTTATTTTTGTTTAACGGCATATCAACCTCAATTGGTTATTTAATGCCGACAAGATTTTTAGGATAGATTCGTATGAATAGAATATGTATTCTTTGGTTTAGATTGGTTTGGTTTATTTTGTTTAACGGCATATCAACCTCAATTGGTTATTTAATGCCGACAAGATTTTTAGGATAGATTCGTATGAATAGAATATGTACTCTTTGGTTTAGATTGGTTTGGTTTATTTTGTTTTACGGCATATCAACCTCAATAGGTTATTTAATGCCGACAACATTTTTAAGATGTATGAATTTTGTAGATCAGATTTAATTGACGTGTTTTTTTTTGGGGGGGGGTTGAGGTTTTCTTTTGTAAATAGGGTTTTTTGTCGGGAGTCAAATGTTTTGGTAATTATTTTTTCAAAAATGTATTACTGATTCTGTTTTTAACTATAAAAAATGTATTTTTACACTTTCAATTATTTTGTCCCCAGTTTGGGGGAGAGGGTAACTATTTTCCCATAAATGGGAGTCTAACAGGTGGTCCCATCCCGGGTCAGAGAGCGCCTGTGAACAAGAGAAATTAATCAGAGAAATTAATCCCGATCTGAGGTCTTGCTACTGGATGTATTATGTAAATTGTACGACAAAGTGGATATACATACATACATACATACATATATATATATATATATATATATATATATATATATATATATATATATATATATATATATATATTAGAGATAAGTTGTATCCACTACTTTGGTTTCAACGTTACGGTATCCTCACACAATTTTTATAAATTGACCTCCCAAAACTTTATTTAAAAAAACTAATTGAAATTATTTTTTTAAATTATTTTTTAAAAATTATTTTTTAAAAAACTAATGAATACGATATTATTTAAAAAAGATAAATAAACAAACTCACACCGTTGGATGTGAAGAAGAACGGAGAATGTATATATATATATATATATATATATATATATATATATATATATATATATATATTATTATTATTATTACGTTAATAAAACACCGATTAAAATTAAAATGAATAATTTATATATATAAGAAAAGAAATAAAAATAAAAAATAAGAATAAAAATAAAAAAAAAAAACTAGCAAAATAATCTAACTCAAATAAATAATAAAATAAACGACTTCCGGTAAAATAACAGCCAAAATAGACTGCCCACAATGCACCACTGACCCGTATATATAAACAGCCGAGAGAAAAAAAAACAACACACGTGGTTTGACGATTGCGTCTAGCATGAAACAGCCCATCGCCTCTAAGTATTATACTTATATATATTTTTTTATTTATTTATAAAACTCCCTTTTCGGCCATCTTTTCGTTTCAGTTTAACACCTCATTCTTCATATAAAACCAATTTAATATTATGAGATTAATAACCGAAGTAATTTTATAAAATCTCTTCACTTTAAGTCTAATAACTTCCACCCTCCCCTAACCACCGTCTCGAATATTTCGTCTGAATGAAACGTCGAAATGGATAAATTCTTTTATCAATTTTTAAACTGTTGTTAAATTTTAAATCATAGTGTTTTCATCATTCCAACACGAACACAGTCTATACACCGGGGTTGAATAAGACTAACGTTGGCTGGAATAGATATATACCCCTCTCCATATGTGTTTAATTTGGATTTTGTGTGAATTATATGCTATATTATAGTAAATAGATTGTGCTCTTTTTGTGGATCAGTTTTCATATTTGTTATTACTAGGATCCACTTGGATTATAGATTCATTATATATATATATATATATATATATATATATATATAAAAGTGAACATAGAAGTCAACACTTAGAGGAGACAGTCTGTTTCATGCTAGACGCAATCGTCAGGCCTGACGACGGCATCGAGCATGAAAACAGTCTGTCGCCTCTAAGTATTGATTCTATGTTCACTTTTATATTTACACACGATCTATCTCTGATATTGAGCACTTTATACTATAAATATATCATCTTAAGACTATATATATATATATATATATATATATATATATATATATATATATATATATATATATATATATATATATATATATATATATATATATATATATATATATATATATATATATATATATATATATATATATATATGCTCTGTTTTATTACATATATATATATATGCTCTGTTTTATTACATCTACACTATATATTTGATATGTTGTAATCTTATTCCCATATAGCCATCTTTCCCTCTCTCTCTCTCTCTCTCTCTATATATATATATATATATATATATATATATATATATATATACACAGTGTCGTCATCAGTCTATATTTTGACTAACCTTTTTAAAAATCATATAGACATTTCAAAACTTAGTTACCTGATATGACTAGGATCCACTTGGATTATATACCAACGGATTTATTACCTGCACCATTTATATATATATATATATATATTGGTACCGGGAAGAGAGGGAGGAATCAAGAGATTCAACCTGAGACTCTGCCCGACTGCGACTCAGTCAACACATTCTCCAGGAACGGTCTTACCAGGAATATACAAAAGACTATATGTAAATATTATGTACACTTTCTTGTTTCGATACATTTTATTCTTAGTACATTTTGTGTTGCATTATTATTCCATGCATTAGTCAAGTTTCAACACTTTTAAGAATAGTAATTGTTGGTTATTGGAATTTATTCCGTATACACCAATCATATACGTATATATATATATATATATATATATATATATATATATATATATATATAGAGAGAGAGAGAGAGAGAGAAAAGAGAGAGAGAGACTGGGGGAGACAGAGACAGACACTGGACATTGAAGATATTTGGGTGCAAGTGAGAAATAAGGTATGGGTTTCTTGTAAATAATGAAGGATGAAATTCTTCAGAGATCCTACAAGGCACACCATGAAATTGACGAACCCTAACCCTGACATTTTACGGCTCTGATCTTTACAGACAAAAAAAAATACCATCAAGAAAGACAAACCTTAACGATCTTTATATCTTTGTGCGTTTATACATTTTTCTTTTCAGATTTCTTTCCTATTTTTTTTATTTCCGTTGGTTTATTTTCGCTTTTATTTTGAAGGCGTAGGTCAAGGATCACTACGGCAAAAAAAAAAAGAGGGCCGAGATTGATTTCGAGAATCTAGGAGAGTATTGGTGGCATTTTGGATTAGGGTTGGTGGATAAGAGTTGGCAGAACGTGGACGGAGGGTGG